TTAAATTTTTTAAAAATACTACTCATCAAAGATATATATATACAATTGATTAGTAATATTTCAAGCCAAACGAGCGGACCACGAACGAACAAATGTTTGTTCATGTTGTTCGTGTTCGACTCGTTAACTTAGTGAACGAGTCGAACACGAGCTTCTTAACGAGCCAAACGTGAGCTGTTCACGAACAATGAACCGTTTTGACAGCCCTACTCGAGGCGAAATGAAAAAAAGAATAATAATAAAATTTTAAAATTACTTTGTTAAAGAGCCGAACGTGAGCTGTTCACGAACAATGAGCCGTTTTGATAGCCCTACTCGAGGCAAAATGAAAAAAAAGAATAATAATAAAATTTTAAAATTACTTTCCGAACCATTCTATTTACTGTCATTTCATTTAACTTGGAGCTTATTGAGGGAGATATTTTCCTGCGACAAGCCAGAATGACGTCATGCCTGCACGAGACTGACACGCGTGCCAAAAAAAAAAAAAAACAAAATTATTTTGTGTGAAACACACGAACCGTCCTGATAAATAGAGAAAGGAGCCATTTACGTATGTTATGACGCATAAAAGCCAATTTCCCCCCTAATCCTTATCTAATTATCAGTCATAGTTAGCAATTATGGATGTTGGAGACTAGAGCCTCTCTTGATGAAATCATGATGGTGATATTTGCTAGCCGATCCAATCAACCTAACCAAATTAGGTATAATTTGTGTGATTTCAGACAATTAGTCCTATCTAACACTTTTGAACCGTAATATATATGAATATGCAATATTTTGGGGGCAGTGTATCCGATGTCTCATGCAAGCGTGGAATCAGGTTTTGTTCAGGGTGAGTAATTGCTCCTTAATATTTATAATATTTCTATATAAATAATAAAATTTATTATTTTTTATATAGTTTAAGCAATTTAGTTTAGTAATTTTTCTCCTCATATATGTTGTTATCCAATACTTAAACAAAAATGATATTTAGTAATTTTGCCCATCCTGAAAAATAATGCTTGTTCTGCCCCAGCTTCATTGCACGAGGTCAAAATTATGATTGATTAATTTTTTTAAAATAAATTTTTAATGATTTGTTAATACGTGAATGGGGTAGTAAAAAATCAACGATAAAAGATTGTTGATTTTAAATGGATTGAGAGGAATATGTTGTAATAACAACTTGCTAAACAACATATTATTGAAGGTGCAATAGTTTTGGGAGTTCAAATCGCTTAAAAATAACTATTAGTACTGAAATCTCACATGTTAAATTGATATGAATATGGAAAGCTAGCCAAACAAAAATGATATTTAGTAATTTTGCCCACCCTAAAAAATAATGCTTGTTTTGCCCTGGTCACATTGCACCAGGTCAAATTTATGATTGATTAATTTTATTAAAATAAAATTTTAATGATTTGTTAATACCTGAATGGGGTAGTAAAAAATCAATGATAAAATATTGTTGATTTTAAATGGATTGAGAGGAATATGTTGTAATAACAACCTGCTAAACAATATATTACTTAAAGGTGCAATAGTTTTGGGAGTTCAAATCGCTTAAGAATAACTATTAGTAATGAAATTCCACATGTTAAATTGATATGAATATGGAAAGCTAGCCAAGTGACCCATGAGCGGGGAACAATCATGGCTTCCCAAATAGTTCTCTCAATATGTTCGTGTCTTTGTCACACATAACAAAACATTCACATTGTTGTGTCAATATAATTCATTGTGAACAATCTGTTTGGGGTCTCACAAACATTTGATTTTGATAGTTCTAATGTTTATAGCATCAATATGATTATAAATTTTACGTAGCATTTTATATGCATATTTTGAATTTATTTATCCTTCTGTTCGGTTAATTTCTACAATGTTAAATATCATTTCATTTATTTCTTATTTTGCATATAATTTAGAGTGATTTTTTTGACCAAAAATAAAATAAAAAATCTGATTGATCTCATCTATTGAGAGTTCAACCCTCTAATTATTATATAGGGTAGCACATGGCTTTTTAAGTTGTCACCTTTCTCAATAGCTAATTGAAAGTTGAGCATGCATGTTTATGTTTTTGGCAATTAGATATATATCACACAATTCTTATATATTTACATGTCTAATATTTAAACTTTCATATTCATATATAAAACACTCTAATGTTTAACATTTTATTAAACATATCATCATTACTAACTTCTTCGGAGTGAAATATACATTTTCATATTAAAATATATAATATCAAAGCATTTCAAATGCAAAGTTTAGGTATCAGACATGTAAATACATAAAGATTATGCTATATGTATATAACTTTTTTCTCTGTTTTTTATATCAAGGTTATATTTTTGTCCATTAAAGACAATATAATGGAGGAATATAACTTAAATCACATCAAAAGAAAAATTAGCACCCTAAAATAGTTTTTATAATTACAAGAATTTAAAGCGACATATTAATTGTATCATAATAAAATGATTAATGTGTGATTGAATGCATAATACATTAGTTGGAAATGAAATAAAAAGAAAATTAAGGTTTCAAGTTGAACTGCTAAAATACTCAAATCTTATCGTTAACCATCAAACCTTCAAAATAAATAGATTAAAAAAGAGAAAAGGACAAACAAGAAAGACAAGAAAAGAAATTGGCCATTGAACCAACATAAATGAAGAATTATAGCAACATAAGCAAATCAAAGAAATTGACAAACTAAAAATACCAGGCAAAGCTTCAAGAAGTGAACAGCATAATGATCGATGGAAATCGAGGAGAGTTTTAATGAGAGAATTAGAGAGAGGAAAAAACATAGAGAAGGAGGCATTGACGTGAAAAGTGGCAAAATTGACCGAAGGCAGATAACTTCTACCAAGTTTTACCTTCTAGAGCTTGTTGGTAAGGGGTTCTCCTCTTCTCCCCATAGAAAAATTTTATTTAAAAGGGTGCTTGACTGCAACCAGGATGAAACTTAAATAAGATTTAGTAAATCTGGATTTATCAAATCCAGATGCAATTCAATATAGAAAAGAGAAAAAAAATACATAAAATTGTTTGAATTGGTTAAGATTAAATAAAATTAAATCCCTTTGAAATGTATGGCATCTTATTTCAATATTTAATAGCAATTGGTTTAAATAGGATTTAAATATGAAATAGAATGCTTTCAATTCCAACTCACCCAACAGTTTCCACAATCACTATGAGTAATGATAATCATATTTCCACAATCATTATGAATAACGATAATCAAATCAAAGCAGCATCCAAAATTGACAACAATACGCCACAACCTTCTGCCACGGCTCATCGACTCACTCGAAACCACCAATGCAATCTTAGCCTTTTAATCCAAAGGGAAGTGTAGAACTATTTTTTATATAAAAATGGTTTCCCTATGAAATGAACGCTTTAATCAGCACTCAAATGGCCTCTCTTCCTCCCTGTTATCTTATTCACGTATACTCGTATAGTTATAGGTTATGCTAAACTAAATATCATTTTCATTAAAAAAAAGGTTCAGTTTCTTTGAATCCTTCAAAAAAGCAAGAAAACATTACATACTTAATAAGTATGTACTTGCAATGATCGAGTGGCCATGTCACATATAAGTGAACTTATAATGACATGATCACTCCATCCATCATGATAAGTACATACTTAATATGTAATATTTTCTCCAAAAAAGCACTAAAACAACTATTATGTTAAGCTAGGAAACTAAAGTGAAATCGTACGAAATCTTGATGTACAACAATGTTATGCATGGAGTCAGCATGTATATAAACTCCGCACTTCAAATTCTTTTCAATAAGCGAGATACTATTAAAATTCATAAAGGCACTTAGATCTCATAGCTTTCAATATTCACCGTAGTTAAAGGTGTAAACGAGTCGAGCTCAAGTGAGCCTAGTCTCGGTTCGTGTTCGACTAGTTTAAAAATATCACGGTTCGTGTTCGGCTCATTTGTTTAGCAAGCCGAACATGAGCTATTCGCAGACAACGACAATTTGATAGCAATTATCACACAACCGTAGGATATTAAGGACAGGGGCAAGATTTAAATCTTATTATTTATATTAAAATGTTCATTTAAATAGAATTTAATATATATTTATTTTTATAATTAATAATTTTAATTGCTGAGAATGAACGAACAAAATTTTATTTGTGTTCAACTCTTAAGTATATTAAGCGAAAAAAATTGTTTATGTTCGACTTATTTGCTTTACGAACGAATCGAACACGGACTACTTAACAAATCAAATATGAGCTAGTCACGAACAATGAGCCATTTTAACAGCTCTACTCGCAGCTGAAGTACTGGTTTCTCAAGATGAGCACTATAACGTGCTTAAGTAAAGCAGGAGGAAGAGCAAGAAGAAAAAGAAGGCGGATGTGGTGATGAAGGTGTATCAAAACGCAAAGAAGGAACGAAAAGGAACAAACCAAACAGTTACTCCACGAATTCCCCCTTCCGGTTTCAATGCAGTGTGCGATGAGGTAGAGACAATTAAAGAGTCTGTGCGTCAGTATTTTCCTTCCATAAATCCCTCAAATCCGTCGAATGAATATCAAATCTTAAGGAGCGCCAGATTTAACCTTCTTATTTTCTTATATTTGACTGAATTTAAGTCGAATAAAGTTATAAATCATATTAAAAATGCCCCGAGGAAAGCATATATATATATATATATCCAGATTTAACTTTCTTATTTTCTTATATATATATATATGAAGCCAATGTTAAATTCCAGAATAATCGATCCTATGTAAGGCCGTAGTATACCCACGTGCGGAAAGTACGGAACCACTGAAGCGCTTACTGCGCCAAGCCGTGAAGCCTCAACCCAAGTCAGCGCTTTTCGTCCCGGCCAAGCCGGCGCAATTGACGGCTTCGGCCAGCTCAACTCCGCGCAACGATCAAAACCCTAAAATTGGAATTTTCTATCGGGACGAGCGGAGGGCCCCTAACCAATAACTCGAAGCGCGGGGAGGTAAAAAACCATCGAAGCACTCTGCTTTTGGTCGATTTGCCACTCTTCATTTCGTCGCCCCCATGTTCTTTTTTTGTTCTCTCTTCGATTCTCTCATTAAGAGTCTCCCTCGATATCCATCGATGATTATGCACTTCAATTCTGGAATGCTCTGCCTGGTATTTTTAATCTGTCATTTTCTTTGATTTGATTATGGTGCTATAATTCTTCATTTCTGATGGCTCTTTTGCCATCTGCTTTTCTTGTCTTATTTTGATGGTTAACGATAGGATTCGAGTGTCTTTTATTGGAACGATTTGCGATTTGTTTTTTTTTTTTTTGTATCTTTCAGTGATTGAATTGCAGAATTTCGGTTTTTATTGGAACAATTTAAGTGGAATTATAGGATTTAATTGTTTGAGAGCTTTTATATGGTTGGACGTTGTAACCATATTATGGAAAAATTTTTCATTTATTATCTTTCAGTGTTTTTCTTTTCAGGGTAAATCCACAGGCTTTGTGTCTTCTGTGAGCTTATCCTCCTTTGTCATCTTCCATTTCTGCAAATGAAATTAACCTTTTTTTTTCAAAGATGGTAATCCCTAATAATGGTAATTTGTGAAGGTTTCTACATTTTTAGCTCCTTTTATAAATCAGATCTGTAAAATGAGGGGAAAATGTTTAAGTTTGATCGACATGTTCTTAGTTCTTTTAAAATGAGATTTTGTTGTAATTCCGTGAATATTTCGAGGTTTTGTTTTGGTTTCATTGGTATTATTCTTGAGCTTCCGAACTTGCGTTTTCTTGTTGGATGCAGGACAGTGTTTCGCATGCTTGTTCTCTGTTGCCGGTTAAATATGAGTGATATATTACTGCAATTTTGAGTTTTTTTTTTTTTTTGAAATCACTCTCGCATTCTTATCGTGGATCTGTGTTTTTTTCTTTCGCATTATCAACATGGTAGGTAGGCATTTGTGAATGATATCAGAAATATAATTTCTCTACTATTTTTATCTTTGAATTTAATCTAGATCTGTCCCTAGCTCTTGAAATTCTGGCGTTCATTAATCATTTTCTAGATTTTGATTATCCGATCCTGCTTCTACAAGCTAAACTAGGATAAAATAATTTAAGTTTTGATTAGCCAAACCAAGCTTGATATGGGGGAGCTAATACTCGTATAAAGATTTAACTTTGATGTCCAAATCAAGCTTGATAGGAGAGTTGAATTTAGAGAAGATTTTATGCTAGTCATGGGCCTGCATAAAGAATTTCCTGAAGGTTAGACGCTAATGAATTGCTGGTCTTCATCGAAGCATCAACTACAAGCCTGAATTTACTCAAAAGTCTCAATATGCCTCTTTTACTTGTTGATCCATCCGGATGTTCTCTATGATTCAAGCTGTTGGAGCTCATCGTATTGAAGAGTAAGGAGTATTGTTTTCATGGATAGATAAATTGGGAATCTCCTTGCATTTAGTTTGGCTTGCTGGAGCCTGTGAACTTTGGATGTTCTTCTTATGCGTTTTGCTTGAGCTTCTGATGAGGCATCTTGCATTATCTTAATAGGTTTGTGATAATGGGCTTGGATTCACTTCGAGGTTTGATAGGCTGGTTAGCCTCTGTTTCAGCCACAGGCTTGTTAAATAGTTTTGGATTCTCTTGGATTTAGGCTATTAGTGGTCATTGAATCGAAGAGCTCAGCATCATTGAATGTTCGTTCAAATCGATAAAAATATGTGAACTTCTAAGTACTTTTTGGCTTGATCCCATAGGGATTTGTGTAAAACTATATATCTTCTTGGGAATAATTGGGTGAAAACCTTACGTTGACATCTTCAAGTTTCGACCTTACTTTATCATTGAGCCAGATACAATATTGCACTAATTGTTCCAAGTATGTTTTCATTGCTTTATGAGAAGTATGGATTTATCCTTTTTTTCCCACTCTTATTAGAATTTATGAGTTTTGGACTTGTAAGTCTCATGCTCAGGTCTCCAGCTATAGAGATCTTTTGATGACTAAAGGGGGGAGGAATGAAGGGTTGCCATTCATTGTGATGTGACCTATCAATTGTGGATCTACTAATGCAATTTACCAATCTTCTGTTGTGATGATCACACATCTTGCAAGAGTAGCCATTATCATGGCATGAATAGTTATCATTATCGTTATATCTATCATCTTGTAAGAAGCTCCTACAGTGGACTTGGAAGTTACTTGCTCTGTTCTCTGGTTGTATTATTTTTGTAATGTTTGAGCACCTCTGAAACATTATGGTGGGATCTATTGCGAGCTGACTTATGTTGATGTTATGTTTATATTTTCTAGTGGACCTATGGGATTTATACCCCAGATGGTTGCTCAATAGGTTAGATAGGAGACCCATGTTAGGAGTTCAACATTATTGGACTTACAAGTGAGTCACTCTAGGCTCCAATTTTTGTATGTTAATATTTGAGAGTTTTTGTACCCTTTGGTAGATTGGCCCAACCTAAATGTACTTGTGGGCGCGCACGATGCATTGTCTCTCATTGCGACACTTGCTAATTATTTGATATCAAGGATCCGCTTAGAGGTAAAAAGTATGCTTTAAATAAACACAACAACACTATTTTCAAAGCTGTTATTGTGACATGAATGTGGATATTTTTACCAATTTGAGTTTGGCCACAATAAATGGATTTTATAACAAAAAAAAAAAAAATTTTTTTTATAGAGTCGGGATAGAAGAATATTGGTAAGGTTTTAGAATGACTTTTGTGTATTACGTAATCAACATTGAAGCCATAGCATAATTAAACCTAAAGTTGGATAGAGAATTCTAGAGTTGTAAAAAATCTTTATGATGGATTATTAAAAGAAGAAAAATGACTAACCAAATATTTTTATGTGCATGTATGGAAACATTGAGGATAGAGCGCAATGAAACCCAATTGTGGAGTTATCACAATTCTGCATGATGAAGTGCAAACAAATTTGAACTAAGAAAAGCCTTTGATGTGTTTGTATGGTAACATCAAGGATACATTATAATAATATTTAGAGATGGAGAGAAAAATTATCCCTACTGAAATCATAAAAAATCTACTCAACATAGCACAAAAAATATGGACTGAGAAGAGTTTTTGATATGCATAAATGGTAGGACAAAGCATCACGTTGATGAATGGAGAAATCATTCCTAACTGAGTCGTAAGATATTTGTGCGATGAAGCATATAAATCTTGCTTAGAAAAAATGGATTTTATAACCAAAAAAATATTTAATATTTTATAGAGTCGGAGTAAAATAACTTTGATAGGGCTTTAGAATGACTTTTGTGTATTACATAATCAACATTGAAGATGGAGTGTAATTACAAGTTGGAGAGAGAATTTTTCTCCAATAGAGTTGTCAGAAATCTTTAGGATGGAGCATTAAAAGAAAAAAAAAGACCAACCAAAGGTTTTTATGTGCATTGAGGATAGAGCGCAATGACACTCAAAGAGCGAGAGGAATCTTACTTTGTGGAATTACCGTAATTCTGCATGATGAAGTGCAAAGAAATTTGCACCAAGAGAAGCCTTAGATGTGCTTGTATGGTTGCATCAAGGAAACATTATAATGATATTTAGAGTTGGAGAGAGAAATTATCCTTATCGAAGTCATCGAAAATCTACATAACAGAGCACAAAAAATATGGACTAAGAAGAGTCTTTGATATGCATGGATGATAGGACAGAGCGAGCGTCAACTTTGATGAACGAAGAAATTATCCCTCACTGAGTCGTTAGAAATTTGTGCAATGAAACATATAAATCTTGCTTAGAAAAAAACTTTGATGTGCATTTGTGATAATATCACAAACAAAGTGCGATGAACTTCATAGATAAATGGATGAACATTTCTCCTGGGAGTCATAAAAATATGGTGGCCCAAAGACACTCAAACTCGTATGATATGATCCGATTCTATTTCACTATGTTGGAGTTTTGGTAGAAGTACATCAAGCAACATGGAGTTTCAAAGGCAATAGGATAAGGTTTAAAGATTTCTCTTGATTGGCTTGTAAGGTTAACTGGGGTTAATTTTAATTATGGTGGATTATTGTTGCTTATTATTGTAACTCTCAATGTTTAATTACATCCCCATCCTAATGTTTGAGAATGCTCTGAATTAAGAGTGCCAATGTGCTTTAGATTGGTGTTAAAAGTTAGGCTTATAGTGGAGGATCGAATGGGGATGAATATTTAACCTTATCAGATATTTGAAATAAACATAGGTGAAGTAGATTAAATGATGTATCTGTTTGAAGTAAAGACTAATATTTGTTTTTTTTATAGAAAAGGCCTGTAGAGCCAATAATGTTAACAATGGTTCAAAGGTTCAAGAATATGACCATGGAGTGTAGTCAAATATATCATTAAATAATTATCACTTGGTTGTATTATCGCAAGTTAGGTTGCCTAAGAGATGAGGTTAAGCTTACCTAAGGTAGGTTACATGCTACGTGACACCTTTTTTATGGTGCCTAATTCTCAATGGTCCATTCCTTATTATAGAGGTTTGTATGCTGTAGTATATGATTGATTGTTGTACTGATGAGTTTTCTTGATTAGGGTGCTTTGAGTTAAACCAAGGTTGTTCACTTCAAAGCTTTGTCTTAAGCAAAATGTAAAATGTTGTTTGCTTAAGTGAGTGCATGATTAACCTAGGTAAATAAATTCAATATTATGGAAGTCGAGGCTTATTGCTATCGATATATAAAGGTTCAAAATTTTGATATTATGGGTTGATAGCTTAACTTAAAAGAGTAGATGGGACATGGGATTTTGACCAAAACCAAGAATGTATGTGGAACTTGCACTCTATTTATTAACTTCAAAGGATTTATGTTGCTTATACAGCCGCACCAATAAAGTTGTGTATACTCGGTGCATAACACCATTGCTATGTTTGTATTCCTACTATACTAGAAAATGCATGTATGAAGTTTGAGGTACCTACAAGGACAAACACATTATATAAACAGACGCACGTGCACACACACACACATATGTACGTGTATATAGGGTTTGAGTGCGCTGCTGTAATGGTGTGATGACATTTCAAACAGGTGTGTGAATTCTAAAAAGATGTTGTGCACTTCAGCATAGTGTTGGCTAAGTCAGTTTTTTGAAGTTGGCGGGGTTGGTA